TGTGAACACAGAATAATGTAAACCCCCTCTCAGAAAAAAAGAAAAAAGTCAAATTTGAAATGAGTGCTTTCCTTCAAGCAAGGAATTAGCATTAGTTAATAGAAAACTGATGCTAACTTCTTGAATAATAACATTTTAGGTTGGGCAATGTGAAATGGCCATTTTTAAAGCAAAAGATGCTTAAAAACTGCCAATTTCAAATGATTCAGCCTCTATATTCTTAATTTAACTATGGTATTGTAAACTGCCAGTTTATATACAATATTCCAATCTGTAGAGCTAAACACAGAACCTGTATATTAACTAATGTGTTGAAACTAGCCAATAAGACTAAAACTGGATTTTACTGAATTATGTAAGTCAGTTTACAGTGTTACGTTTTCCTGGAATTTGATATAAAAATTGATTTAGAGCCCACTAAAAATGTAATTATTTATGCTTGTCAAAAATTGTGAAATATGCTTAGATATGATTATTTAAAGCCTAAACCTGAATGAGAGAAAATCTAGCTAAACTTAAATTGGTTGGACTTACAAAATGGGGCTTTTTCCCCCATTTTAACCCCACCAATGTCAACTTCTTTGTATCATTAGACTATAAAAATTCCAGTATAATTTTTGAAATAGCATCTCTGTTGGCTCCCTTAATCTAAAGGTTCTCACAAAGTTTAAGAACAACCTTAATATTACTGGAACAAAAACAGACATACAGACCAATGGAACAGAACAGAAAGCCCAGAATAAACCCATGCATTTACAGTCAGCTGATGTTCAACAAAGGTGCCAAGAGTCCACGATGGGGAACTCAATAAACGATACTGGGCAAACTGAGTATCCACTGGCGGAAGAATGAAATTGCACCCTGTCTCACCCATATGCAAAAATCAACTCAAAGTAAATGCTTAACTGTGAAACCTGAAATTGAAAACTGGCGGAAGAATGAAATTACACCCTGTCTCACCCATATGCAAAAATCAACTCAAAGTAAATGCTTAACGGTGAAACCTGAAATTGAAAACTGGTGGAAGAATGAAATTACACCCTATCTCACCCATATACAAAAATCAACTCAAAGTAAATGCTTAACTGTGAAACCTGAAATTGAAAAACTACTAGAAGAAAACATAGGTGAAAATCTTCTTGACATTGGTCTGGGACAAGATATTTTTGGATATGACTGAAAAGCATAGGCAACAAAAGAAAAAGTAGACAAATGATACTGTATCAAACTAAAATGCTTTTGCACAGCAAAGGAAACACTGATGGAGTAAAGAGACAACCTACAGAATGGGAGAAAATATCTACAAAGCATACATTCGATAATAGGTTAATAGATTTTTTTAAAAAAGGAACTCAGACAACACAATAGCAAGAGAACAAGTTACTTCTCTAGAAAATGGGCAAAGAACCTGAAAAGATATTTCCCAAAAGAAGACACACAAGTGGCCAAGAGGTATATGAGGAAATGCTAAACATCGTTAATCATCGGGGAAAAGCAAATTAAACACAAAGTGATATCCTCACGCCTGTTAGGATGGTCATTAACACAAAGACAAAAGAGTTGGTCAGGATGTAGAGAAAAGGGATCCCCCTCGTACACTGTTGGTGTGAATGTAAATTAGTAGTTATTCTGGAAAACAGCACTGAGATCCCTCAGAAAACCAAGAATAGAACTACCATATGATTTGGAGATTCCACTTCTGGGTATATACCCAAAGGAAATGAAATCTGCACTCCCGCGTTCACTGCAGCATTATTCCTAATACCCAAGCTATGGAGTCCATGTAAATGTCATCAGTGGAGGAATGGATAAAGGACATGTGGTATGTGCAAATAAAGGCACACTCTTCAGCCTGAGAGGATATCCTGTCACTTGAGATAATACGGATGAACCTGGAGAACACTATGCTAAGTGAAATAAGCCAGGCATACAAAGACAAATACTGCACGTCTCACTTATTTGTGGAATCTAAAAAAGTCAGATTCATAGAAGCAGAGAGTAGAATGGTGGTTACCAGGGGCTGGGGGGACAAAACTGGGGGAATTGTAGAGATATTGGTTTTTACTTTATTATTATATTTTTTAGATGGAATTTTGTTGTTGTTGTCCAGGCTGGAGTGCAATGGTGCAATCTCGGCTCACTGCAACCTCTGCCTTCTGGGTTCAAGTGATTCTTCTGCCTCAGCCTCCCGAGTAGCTGGGATTACAGATGCATGCCACCACACCCAGCTAATGTTTTGTATTTTTAGTAGAGCTAGGGCTTCACCATGTGATCCACCTGCCTCAGCCTCCCAAAGTGCTGGGATTACAGGTGTGAGCCACTGCGCCCAGCCTGAGATGTTGATTAAAGGATGCAAAATTTCAATTAGGAAGAATAAGTTCAGGAAATTCATTGTACAACATAGTGACCATAGTTAATATATACTTGAAAATTGCTGAGAGAGATTTTAAATTACTCCACAAAAATATGTGGAGTAATGCATACGTCAATTAGCTTGATTTAACCATTTCACAATGTTAATATACATCAAAACATCATATTGTACACCATAAATAGATTTTTATGTTAATTTAAAAATTTAAAAAGATCAGCCTTAAATAAAATAAAAGTACTCTGACATTCTAAAATTAAAGACTGTTTGTATTTTGAGAGATATAAACTGGCAAACCAAAAATAAAGAAATCCAAATACTAGGAAAACAAGGGAAAATATGCTCAACTTTCCTTAGTTCTTTTTTCCTGCTTTCTTCCCTTCTTTGTCCTCTCCCTATCGCCTGCCCTTCCTCCTCTCCTCTTTCCTTTCTCCTCCCCTTCTTTCAGTCTTGGAGCTAATATTTAAAAATGCTAACAATTGTTAATACGTATTAATAGCAATGTGTATCTTGTTCTTGTACTTTATCTATATTTACATGTCTTTAGAAAGGGAGAAATAAAAAGGAAAATGTTATTACCTTTGCCTCCTTTACAGTGAATTGCTACGATGTTTGCAGGATCTTGAGCCATCCACTCATTTACTTCCTTGGTGAAAACCACCATCTCACTAATTTCAAGTTTAAGATTTTTAGTTAAAATATTTTCAAAAAATCAAACCCAATATATTTAGCCCTCTTCTGATAGTCAACTTAGCATAAAACTTACTGTAGAGTGGGGACATTATGATCATCAATCATGATTCTGCTGACCCTATTATGGAAGTACTTAGGATCATAAGCTCTTTCACCTAAAATAAATAATATGTACGTCATATCTCTATAGGGGATAACATAATAAATGATGAACTTATAAATAAGTTAACATATCTTATTAGAATTCCTTATCTGTCTTCAAAAACAGCTTTCCAAGTTGCTCCTGCCGCTCTAAAACAAACACGGGGTCTCAAAATCGTAAGGATGGTAGTGGTTTATCCATCTCATGTAACCCAAACTCAACTATTTCTGTTTAATAGGTATAATTTTTAACTTTCTAGCAGACCATTCATCATATTATTGCAGGGCAGTTAGAAACCACACAAGAGGCAAATGTAGCTGACCAAAATGATGGCCCCCTGAAAATGTCTACTGAGTATACAGGTGGAGGAAAAAGTCAAGAGAGACAGAGTATGAAGCTGGGTTACAGCCTATTTCCCACAGAGTGTTTCCTTTTCTCCCATCTAGGGTCCTGCTCTCATCACAGCCCAGTGCGGACGGGGCCGAGGACTCATTTGTTAAATCGTCTATGTCCTCATAACACAATCTGGCAGGAAAAACGAAAGATTTTTCTAAACCTAATGTCGCTAGAACAGATCTTCCCTAAAATGGTTTGCTTCCACTCCAGCCTCACAGGTCCTGCCAAAGCCGCCTCCTTCACAGAGTGCTTTGTGCTGCTGGGCGAACTCCTTCTACTAAATGGGGCCAGTCCAAGATGGGGATTTTTAAATTCATTCCTTGCCACCACGAAATACTTATGATTAAGTGCAATAAAAACACAAAATCATCTTCTTACATAATCTATCTACAGTAGCAAATATAGAGTAATGTACATACTGCATAGATTATAGACTCGATAGTGATTTGGATGTTTCTTATCCAGAAACCGCACGACTTCCTAAAAAAGACAAACACATAGCTTGCATATTTACATGGCACCAACATAAGCTATTTCCTAGGGGGAACCTACAATGGTTATTACTTTGATTAATTTGTCTCTCACTCGCATCTTCTAGGGGAGATTCAGGGAATACGAGGGTATGCAAATTTCAAGTTCTAATCCACTGTGATTTTTCAAATAGTCCACAAAGTGCGTTTGGCCACTCAGATGAGTCTCTATTGTAAATACACACTGTTTAAAGCTATCAGATAAGGAAATTAGCTGGTGAACTAACTTTAAGTAATTTGTTCTAAATCATTAATTCACAGTTAATGTGGTTCTTGTTTAAATCTAATTCATATTGGTTCTTATTTAATTCGGAATAGATACATCTTTAGAGAGTGATCTGCATATTACAGTCTACCTAAGCACTATGTAAACAAATACATGCAAAAAGTATATAGTATGATTGTGTATATGCGTGATAGAAAAAGATAAACATATCAAATTTGAAATAACTGGTAACAATATGGAGACTTTTTTGGCTCATCTGTTCTCCTATTTTTTAAATGAAGATATATGTGTACCTATAAGTGTGTGTATATATAATGTATACATATGTGTAACCTTTAAAATGAAAAACAAATAGTAGTTATTATTTAAAATACAGTTAATACCACTATATGAATCCAACTTTCAGTAAATATCTTTCTGAAACATACACACACGTATGTATCTCTGTGCAACAACAAAAATGACACAAAATTTTAAAACTGATTAGTATGCTACCCTCAGAGCAGCATTTAGTGGCTTAATATTGAGAAAAATAAAATTAAGGTACTAAAGTCATCCATTTATTCAACTGGCTATCTCTGTTAGGAAGAAATTGTAAGTCGAAAAGATGAACACTCGGAATCTGCACAGTGGGGGAGGCAAGGATGAACAGTTTTATATACTTCAGAATTCATGGAATTTCTTACATAAAATCCATACGGGTTTAGAAATCACATATAAAAACTACAAATATCTATGAGAAATTTAAGCAAATTTTAATCAGTTCTTTGGATGAGGAAAAACTGAAAGTGTTGAATCAGTGGAAGATCAACAGGCTTAGGTTTGACTTCATAAAAATCTGAAATTTCTGCTTAAAAATGCTATAATGAATAACAGGGGAAACAATTTTTCAGAAAAATTGACTGACTGGGGACTATGCCTAGTATGATAAATTAATAATTCATTAACAACAACTTAAATATTACTCACTCACCTTATAGATAAATGGGCCAAGGACATAAACAATTCATAAAAGAGAAAATCCAACTGATTAACAACCTACATAAATATTCAGTGTCACCAACAAAGAAGTCAAAACAATGACATGCCATTTGCACCCATGAAATTAACCCTTTCTCTTTTTTTTTTTTTTTTTGAGACGGAGTCTTGCTTGTTGCCCAGGCTGGAGTGCATTGGCTGGATCTCAGCTCACTGCAAGCTCCGCCTCCCGGGTTCACACCATTCTCCTGCCTCAGCCTCCCGAGTAGCTGGGACTACACGTGTGCACCACAATGCCCATATTTTTTTGTATTTTTTAGTAGAGACGGGGTTTCACTGTGTTAGCCAGGATGGTCTCGATCTCCTGACCTCGCGATCCGCCCGTCTCGGCCTCCCAAAGCGCTGGGATTACAGGCTTGAGCCACCGCGCCCGGCCAACCCTTTCTCTTTTAATGAGAAAATCCAATGCTGGCAAAATAAGGCATGAAATTCAAAACTTTTATTTATTGTTGATACAAGAATACAACTGCTCTTGGATTTGGCAAGATATATTAAGAACCCTAAAAATATTCATACTCTTAGCTAGGTAATTTCACTCCTAGCACTCTATACAGAAAAAGCCTATGCGCAAAGATGTCTGTTGCTGTATTATTGATTATAGTGACACTTAAATGTCCAACATTACAGGTTAATCACAGCGCTAATGAAATATCATGCAACCATTAGAATACTGTCCTGTCCTTCATTTTATTTTACTTTATTTTATTTTATTTTGTTTTATTTTAAGATGGAGTGTCACTCTTGTTGCCCAGGTTGGAGTGCAATGGTGCAATATCAGCTCACTGCAACCTCCGCCTCCCAGGTTCAAGCAATTCTCCTGCCTCAGCCTCCTGAGTAGCTGGGATTACAAGCGCCCGCCACTACACCTGGCTAATTTTTTGTATTTTTAGTAGAGACGGGGTTTCACCATGTCAGCCAGGCTGGTTTTGAACTCCTGACCTCAGGTGATCCACCCTCCTCGGCCTCCCAAAGTGCTGGGATTACAGGTGTGAGCCACCGCGCCTGTCCCTGTCCTTCATCCTCTCAATAAGTAAGTATCTCACACTGGTAATTTATGTGCAGCCTTCCTTAGTATACACATATAGAAAAACAGTCAATATTTGCTTTTTCATGGGAAAACAAATATACCTGGATGGTTGAGCTTTAGGGATTTTTCCGAATCCACTTCCTAGTTGTCTCAATGTCTAAATCATCTATATATATAGACTCAATATTTAGATGATTTACTGCTGCGTTTTCTGATCTAAGTAGTTTACTGAAGACTCTAAATACCTCTTATCCAAATTAGGTGAAAAAGGACATCAAGAATCTAGAAAAAATTTCAACTCTGCCAAGAATCTACATTTTTCTGGTCACAATCTGTCACCAGATGGACAGTTTCTGTTTTCAGCCAGAATTAAGTGCATTCAATTCTACCAGGAACAGAAATTAAAAGATGGCTAAGAAGATTGTAGGAAAGTAGGTAATTGTATAGCTGATTTTTCTCAATAGCTCAGCCTTTGCATGGGCTTACTAAGTTTATAATTTCTGAAACTCTTCGTTGTGATGCAAAAGTAGAAAATGCTGTCTTCTCTTTGAAAGCCTTCTTACAACAACCTCCACCTTCGGGTTTTCCTAAATCTACCAACTCTTCTCTCTGCCTGTCTCAGCACGTGCCTTGACTTGGAGGCAAAGGTATACTTCTGTACTTGCATGAGGTGGTGGCAGTGGCCAAACGTGTTGATGCTTCCACCACAGCGCTTGTCTCTCCACTGACTCTAGGGTCCTGCATCTCTACAGTTTTTGCTACTTCAAGGCAGCATCTGACATTTCCCCACTAGTCAATTTACCACTTATGAAACTGTAATGTCTGCTTTGCATATTCGCTGTTATTCAAAATGTAACCCTGCAACTTTAATCCCTTTTAAGAATAAAGGGGAATCACATGACTGTTCAGCATCCTCTCAGGAGTTAAGTATGCCTGGATTTGAATCTTCTCCCTTTTAGTCAACCTTGATTCAATGCGCTTTGTAGATGGTTCTCAAATATGACAGAGACACTCGCAGTGCAGGACACGCTGTTACCAGTGAACATGCAACCACTGAGGGCTCCATGGCCCGATTCCCAGCCTGCCCAGGCAGCTGAACTAGTAACTTAGATTTGGGGCTGCACTCTGGCAAAGATGAAAGACTAAATATTAATACGGATGGTAGATTTGCTTTTCGGGTGGTTTAGGATTTGTGGAATTTATTAAAACACATGATTACCTCCTTTTTGGACACTCTGATTAAAAATGGTAAAGGGGCCGGGCGCGGTGGCTCAAGCCTGTAATCCCAGCACTTTGGGAGGCCAAGATAGGCGGATCACGAGGTCAGGAGATTGAGACCATCCTGGCTAACATGGTGAAACCCCGTCTCTACTAAAACATACAAAAAACTAGCCGGGGGAGGTGGCGGGCGCCTGTAGTCCCAGCTACTCGGGAGGCTGAGGCAGGAGAATGGCGTGAACCCGGGAGGCGGAGCTTGCAGTGAGCCGAGATCACACCACTGCACTCCAGCCTGGGTGACAGAGCCAGACTCCGTCTCGGAAAAAAAAAAAAAAAGGTAAAGCAATCAATGACTCATTAGTACTTTGTCAATGCCCCAAGGAGATAACAGTTTAATAACTGATAGAAACCAAGAGCCTAGAGATCACCCCAGAAGGAAACAGGAATGTCTCTGTTTTGCTTTACATTCTAAAAGGTTTTGGCTTTTTAAAATCACCCCAGCTAATATTAAGTGTTGCCAAATTTATATTAGTCACCACCGAATCTACTGAAAGAAAATTGGCTCAAAATAGACATGCTATAATTAACTCACAGTTATTAGCTTAACCTGCTTTAAAAACAATATTAGCAATCAAGAGATGTTTTACCCATAAAGATGGAATCTGGAAATTTTGGGATGGCTGCCCTCAAGTGCCATGACCCATCCAGTGGGCCCTGGTCACATTACTCCATGACTGTGCCCATTAGAAGTGACAAAAGGTAATTCCACCTCAAATAAATAGTTTGAAACAATTTTCAAAATTGGCCAAGGGAGTGGCAGAGTCATGTCTTAGCTGTGAATAGCATAACCTGGCTGAGATGTGGTTCAGACCCTTCTCTTCAAGGTCTTTAGGTATTTACAAATGTATTTTTATACAATTGCTGAAGTCTTGAGTCTATGACTATATATCAGTTATTTCTTGTGAACTATCTGCATGTATAAAAATGCTTCCCTGCCTGAGAATAAGGTAGAATCATTTCATCAATGGTCTCAATTCTTCAACTTTTCCTGAATCTAAGCCCTCACATTTCCCCTCATAGTATCCTTTCACTCTAATTTTGTGTTCCATTATATGAATTGATTTGGCCACGGGGATGCCACAAAGGAGAGGCTTGCAAAAGCACTTGCAAGATCCTACTCTAGCTCTTTCCTTTTGCTATTACCTTGAAACATATCCCTCATATTCATCCTGATGGAGGATGAAGATGAGTTGAGCAGATAGGAGTTACCCAAGACACCTAAGCTAAGGTAATTGTAGACCAGCTGATAAAGACATTTCAAGGAAAGAAAACCACATATCACTTATGAACACAGATGAAAAGTTCTACATAAAATATTAGCAAATAGAATCTAGTGTTATATAAAAAGGATAATACATTAAGACCAAAAGGAATTTATTCCAAAAATTAAAAAGGTTAGTTTAACATTTGAAAATCTCATTAATGGACTAACAGAAAAACATTTTGATTATCTTGATTGATGCAGAAAAAATATCTGATATATTCAATACCAATTCATGATTCAAAACTTTTAGCAAACTAGAAATAAATGGACTGTCTTAATCTAGTAAAGAATGACTACAAAAGCCTATAGCAAACACCATTTCAAATAGTGAAGCATGAAATTCCTTCCACCCAAGTTTGGGAACAGGACAAGGCTGCCTCCTCTTACCATTTCTATTCAATATTACAGTGAAAGTCCTAGATAATTCAATAAAGAAAGAAAAAAAAGTATAAAAAGTGGGAAGAAAGTAGTAACTTTATATGATTGTATACATTTAAAAAATCCCAGGGAATCTACACATTCATGATTAAAATGAATGTGTGAATTTACGAAGGATGCTAGATGTAAAGTCAACATCCAAGGCCAGGTGTGGTGGTTCACACCTGTAATCCCAGCACTTTGGGAGGCTGAGGTGGAAGGATTGCTTGAATCCAGGAATTCAAGAGCAGCCTGGGTCAATGAGACCAGAGAGACTCCTTCTCTACAAAAATTAATAAAAAAAAAATTAGCCAAGTGTGGTGATGCCTGCTTATAGTCCCAGCTATGTGGGAGACTGAGGTGGGAGAATTGCTTGAGCCCAGGTGCCACTTCACTCCAGCCTATGGTGACAGAGCAAGGCCCTGTCTTAAGACAAACAAATAAACAAAAGTCAATAAGCAAAAATTAGTTATGTTCCTATATACCAATAGCAAATATTTAGAAATATTTCCACTGGGAAATCCACTGTTAATCAAATGGAGGTTCCCTTATACGTGACTTGATGCTTTTTTCTTGCTGTTTTTGATATTTCTGTGTTTTTGTTTTTTTTGTTTTTGTTTTTTTTTTGGATACAGTCTCGCTCTGTCACCCAGCCTGTAGTGCAGTGGTGTGATCTTGGCCCACTGCAACCTCTACCTCCTGGGTTTAAGCAATTCTTGTGATTCAGCCTCCCAAGTAACTGGAAGTACAGGTTCATGCCACCACACCCAGCTGATGTTTTTGTATTATTAGTGAAAACGGAAACATGTTGGCTGTGCTCATCTTGAACTCCTGGCCTCAAGTGATCTACCCGCCTCTGCCTCCCAAAGTGCTGGGATAACAGGTGTGAGCCACCACACCTAACGAATATTCCCTCTTTTTGACTTTTGACAGTTTGACTATTATGCACCTCAGAGAAGAACTTTTTGGGTTGAATCTATTTGAGAACCTTTGAGCTTCCTAGATTTTGGCCATATCTCTCCCATGTCTGTTTTTAAACCTCTTGATTGTACTTTTTTTTTTTTTTTTTTTTTGAGACAGGGTCTCGCTCTGCCACCCAGACTGGAGTGCAGTGGTACAATCTTGGCTCACTGCGACCTCCACCTCCTGGGTTCAAGCAATTCTCATGTCTCAACCTCCCAAGTAGATTGCAGGCATGCGCCACCAAGCCCAACTAATTTTTGTATTTTTTAGAGACAGGATTTCACCATGTTAATCAGGCTTGTCCTGAACTCCTAGCCTCAAGTGATCCACTGCGTTGGCCTCCCGAAGTGCTGGGATAACAGGTGTGAACCACTGCACCTGGACTCTTGATGGTATTATTATTTTATTCCTTAAATTCTTCAGCTCCAAGATCTCTGTTGGTTTTTAATGACATATATATCCCTGTTGAATTTCTCATAAGATCATAAATTGTTTTTCTAATTTCATTGATTTATCTATATTCTCTGCATCTCACAGAGTTTCCTTAAGATCATTATTTTGAATTCCTTCTTAGCCATTTGATATACTCTTAAAATTTAGGGTCTGCTAATGGGAAATTATTGTGTTTCTTTGGAGGTGTAATGTTTCCTTGCTTTTTATGTTTCTTGGGGCCCTAAATTGATTTTTGCACATCTGGGGGAACAGTTGCCTCTTCCAATGTTAGGGAGCTTTCATAGAGAAATACTTCTTCCAATAGTTGCCTCCTATAGTGTTCATTGAGTCGGGTGCTTTGACTTTGGTTCTGGGTGGGTGCAGTATTATAGTCTTCATGTGACTTTTTTGGCTGTAATCAGCATTCAGTGGTGTCTGTGAGTGCCTCAGTGGCCTGATGGTGAGTGTGGAGACAGTGGTATGGTTTTTTTGGTCTGTGAGCCATCATTCAGATGAGTTCTCAGGCCCTAGGCATATGCATGCTAGGTGCAATGGCTTTGCTAGTTGTGGGGTATTGCCACCAGCAGGTTGGGCACCAGGCAGGCCAGTCCTCAGTGCCTTAGAAGTGCATGCAGCATATGGTGGCTCTGCTGGTGAAGGGGGTGGGGCTGTTGGCAGCAGTGGGTGCCAGATGGGACGGGCCTTGGGCCTTGGGGGGTGCGTGTAGCATGCGGTTGCTCTGTCAGTTGAGGGTAGCCAAGTCATTTTAGACTAGTCAGTCCTCAGATGACCCAGTAGCTGCCCACAGATAGCTGAATGGGCTTAGTTGAGACAAGAAATCCTTTCTGCAGGCACCTGAATTGGACAGTTAAGCCCATCCCAAATTCACAAACCATAGTGTCATGGGCCAAATAAATAGTTGCTGTTATAAGCCAGTAAAAGTTTTGGGGTGGTTTGTAACCACTGGCACAATTGTAACTGGTATCAGTTCATTATGATTTTTTTTACTTTAAAGAGTACATTTTTAAAAGAACACTGCCATATCTGGGTCAATATTAAACTTGTGACTACATAGTCTGCATTCACTGATAAATGAGTATTTGTCAGATAAAGACCCTTACCTCAATTGGATTTCTATAGAAAGACTGCCTTCCAGAAGATGGAAATGACATAGCAATAATACGTTCTGAAAATCAAAACCATCACTATTAAAAACATTATTATAGATTTCTTATGACATACAAAAAATTAATTTATACATGATCAGACTCCATTTTCACAGAAAAAAAAAAAACTTTTAAGATTGAGGTTGACAGAAAAGAGCTAATATTCAGGATAATCAAATAACATATTAAATGATCCAACATAATGACCATTAAACTGGCATGGCGTTCTTAAGACTCCACTAGTACTAACCGTATGCCATGTACTTATGTTGGCCTCAGTATGGAGCTCTCCCTGTTCTTAGAATTTATTTCGTATCTTAAATACCAGAGAAAATCCAAGAGTTCTGGGCACCAGTGAAGGTGGGAACTCCCAAGGTGCTTTGCAGCCCTCTGACTCAGAAAACCTGAGATCTACAAAGCACTGACCTCATTCTCTGGGGTTCTAGGATGAGAAGAGGTCTCTCTGGGATCCTTGAGACTCAGAATAACTACTAGAGCTTAATAAATTGAAACTGAAATGGAGTCAGCTGAAAATCCATTCAAGTTCCTATGCTGCAACTGAGTAGTCCTGAATTGAGAAGACATGCAGATCTTCCATTGCCAAGGCTAAACCACAAATGTGTCACACTATCACAGTGGCATATATCCTCATGAATAAAGAATATTTTGAATGAATGTGTCTTAGATGAGGCAAAAAAATATACAATTACAAGAAAAAGTGAAGTAATACAAGTAAATCAACAGTTAAGTGTCACAAACCTGTAACATAAGTGAGGTCTAGGTCAAATCCATCCCTTGTGTATCGCCTTTTGTTTTCTGAAACCTGAGAGTTTAAAATCATCGTTAGTTTGTGAAACATTCATCAACATAAAAATAAAAACATTATACAGCATAGATATCAACCCTTGCCAATGGGTCCCAAAACACAAAATAGTTTTTCTGAATCATAAGCATGTTTTGCCACTTACCAGCCTTCTCATCAGCTTTTCAAGTTGTCTTTTTTGATGAATCAGATGAAAAATTCTTATCAGAATAATAAGTCGTACAAGTCGAACTAAATGTATCCATCTAACAATAAATTTAAAAGATCCATTTTTGCTTCAGAAACAGAATTTTATCAATATAAACTACGTCTAGAGCAGCAGTTGTTAACCAGAGGCAATTTTCCCTCTTCTCCCCAATTACCTACCTTGGGGATATTTGGCAATGTCCGGAGGCATTTAGGTTTTCCCAACTGGTGTGTGCCTGTGTGGGTGTGTGTGTGTGTGAGACTTACATCTAGTGGATAGAGGCCAGGAATTTTGCTAAACATCCTGCAATTAATATAACTGCTCACTACCCTCTCATGACAATGATCTGGCCCAAAATGTCAGTAATGCTGAGGTTGAGAAATTCTGGTCTAGAGAAATAGTGATACAATAGACACTTAGCATTTGTTAATTTAATTTTGGCATTTAAGACTAGCATTTTCAATTTTTCCACATCAAAACAAATTGCTTATTCTTGTTCATCTCTGTTATTCCCATGAGTAAGAGAGGTTCAGTACAGCTGCTAATGCAGATCAGGCAGGCAACAGACTGAGATACTTACAAAGTGTGCTGGCTGGTATCTCTACCACCATCAGAAACACTGAGGCAGAGAACTGACGGTATGGACTAGTGCTTCTCTGATTTGGGCACACGTAAATAACAGCCATCTGGAAAAGCTTGTTAAGCTGCAGATTGCTGGGTCCCAGAGATACTGATTCAGTGGGTCCAGGGTGGGGCCTAAGGTATTTTTCTTCTTATATTTCTAGCAAGCTCTCAAGTGATGCTGAGGTTTCTAGTCAGAGGACCACATTGGCTAAGGTTATTTTCAAATAACTCCAAAAGCCTATCACTTAACACGCTTAGTTGGGGCCTGAGCTGTAGTCTAGGGAAGCTAGGGTATGAAAAGAAATCAGCTATTTGACCCATGAACAAGCTTAAGAAGCCACCATCTACATCCCACTATACATTTGCTCTTTCATTTTCCTGTCACAGTAAAAAAAGAAAAAAAAAAAAAAAGTCACCAGGTCCTCATACACTCTTTAGTTTCCTAATCCCTAACAGTTCTAACTTTGCCTGCGCTTTCTTTGTTTCTACCACAACTATACTGCAAAACTCTACCATTGTGTTGCTACACCTGTATCTCCTAGTTTCTGTTCTGTTTGCTATTTTTTAGAAACTCATGATTGAAGTCACTCAAATTTTGCATATGCTCAAATAAATTTCCTCTTGGTTGTAGGAAAAATCCACACAGAACATTTCGTGTGTAAGGGATTTGTAGTTGAAGCACAGAGGGGAATTGTTTTTAATATAAAATTTTTTGATATAGCACATATTAAACTGATAAGAATATTATACTTGATCTTAGCCAAAAGGCCAAAAAATGATACAAGTGGGAATTTGATGAGAACTTCGAAATGTAGGAAGTTAAAGTTAGTACAAGAGTAAAGGTCCTTCTTTGGGTACTACATCTTTTTTTTTTTTTTTTTTTTTTTTTGAGACGGAGTCTCACTCTGTTGCCCAGGCTGGAGTACAGTGGCCAGATCTCAGCTCACTGCAAGCTCCATCTCTCGGGTTTACGCCATTCTCCTGCCTCAGCCTCCCGAGTAGCTGGGACCACAGGCGCCGCCACCTCGCCTGGCTAATTTTTTGTATTTTTTAGTAGAGACGGGGTTTCACCATGTTAGCCAGGATAGTCTCGATCTCCTGACCTCGTGATCCGCCCGTCTCGGCTTCCCAAAGTGCTGGGATTACAGGCTTGCGCCACCGTGCCCAGCCCCATCTTCTTTATTCAATTAATGGTACTTAGTGTGTATGCTCTTCACTGCTCCCCAGATGTCACAATCTTTTAGTTTCAAAGTGTGTGGGAATTTACCTAAACATTTCATTTTAAAGTAATGTATTTGGTATAGAATGAGAACATTTGAAGTTTAAAAGATTATATAGAATAAAAGCCACAGAAAATGCAAAATTAATGAAAAACTTTAAGAGAGGTAAGTCTTACATTTCATACCTGGGAATATTCCTAAGAAACTTAATGTCAAAAAAAATGTAAACGACATCAACCAGCAGAGGAGTCACAATAATGGCGGTATCTAAAACGTTAAGTAAGTCAGAAAAATACCGCTGTCTCCTGTAATATAAAACAAACAAACAAAGTTCATTCCCCCCTGCAAGAAGAGATAGGATATTTAAAGAACACAAACTATTGACTCATCCACATTAAGAATTCTACTTTCATGAATTATTTAAAATGTATTTTCTAGAGTAGACTAAGGGGAAAATATAACATTCATGGGACGTTTTCAAACAATAAAGTTACATTCATCATTTGACACATATATATGACTAAAGCACCAACATGGCAATTCAAGTGCCATGATACAACTAAATGCGTAATAATCACCCTTATCGTGGACAGTGGGGTATCTATCCCCTCAAGCATTTATCATTCACGTTACAAACACCCCAATTACACTCTTTCAGTCAGTTAAAAATATACAATCAAGTTATTGTTGACCATGGTCAATCTGTTGTGCTATCAAATAGTAGGCGTTACTCATTCTATTTTTTTGTATCCATTAACCATCTCTATCTCCCACCCCCAAGCCCCTACTACCACTCCCAGCCTCTGATGACCATTCTTCTACTCTCTAGATCTATCAGTTCAATTGTTTTTTTTTTCTGGAGCCCCAAAATAAGTGAGAACATGTGAGGTTTGTCCTTCTGTGCCTGGCTTACGTCACCTAACAAACATAGTGATCTCCAGTTCCATTCATGTTGTTCCAAATGACAGGATCTCTTTTTTTTTTTCTTTTCTTTTTGAGATGGAGTTTCAGTGTTGTTACCCAGGCTGGAGTGCAATGGCACCATCTTGGCTCACTGCAACCTCCACCTCCTGGGTTCAAACGATTCTCCTGCCTCAGCCTCACAAGTAGCTGGGATTACAGGCGCCCGGCACCACACCCAGGTAATTTTTGGA